GTGTTCATTCATTCATTTTGTGTACACAAAATGAATGAATGAACACTTAAATCCAATTTTACCTTTCAAAGCACTGATTGAATTCTAAGTCAGTATTTAAAACTGCAACTTCTTATATTTAACTGAAAGCAAAGTTTCACAAAGTTTCACAAGAAGCGAAACATGAAACTAACCAATATTTGTATGTGTTTGTGCATATTTGTTTCTGCATACCTCCCAGTAAGTGAACAAAGATGCAAGTACCTTGGTGACAAGAGCAGAGTAACTCATGGCAGGGGACAGACCAATTCCTAGCCGTTGTAAATAGCAATAGATAATGTGTGGTTTGGCGAGGAGGCTGAAAGTGCACAGGTAACCCAGACATATTCCAGCCAGAATGATGTAGCAGAGCTCCCGACTGGAAGACTTCACCACAGGAGTGTCCCAAAATCTACAGACAAATCACATTATTTAGAGTCTAAATGTGTCAATAATGTACAGGCAGATTCATACATTCTAGTTCTGTCAAGAACACATTGTGATTACTAGCTACAATATAGATTGTTGGACAGTTTTTGTCTATAATTACTTGATGAATACAGAAGTGACAAAAAGCGTCGCCAGGAGGCCCAGACAGGCAAAGACTACAGCGACGATTGGCTCTGGATCTCCCCAACGCACATACTGCACTGGAATGGGTTCACAACCTGAAAGAAAGGATGAGTAAAGCTTGGAAATTTCTGAACTATTGTTTCCTTGTGCATTCAGAACATAAATATTCACACTGATTAATTATTTATTACTACACAAAAATCAATTAGTTTTAGTTTCAATTAGCAAGTCTTGGTTTTGTGTTTGCCAGCATGTGTAAGTATGTGTATGAGGTATTTTGACTTTAAGAAGGAGATTTGTGAAAGTAACTTTGGTGCAAAAATAAAATTTTGACCTGTTTGGAAATCTTGTATGTCCAATTAACTGCGATGTAAACTGATTGTTTGTTTACCAGTGAGGTCATCTGTAGGCCAGGAACCCAGGATACAAGCGCGGCAAGTGTACTCATCAAACACAAACTCGTTCTCTTTGCAGGGAGTACAAGTCCAGCAGCAGCTCACCTCTCCTTTGCGAATCACCTATGCACACACATGTGCACACGCACACCCACACACACACAGTATTTGAAAGGGCAGAAAGGTCTCAAAGCTCCAACGGCACTTTTCTGTAGCTAAACTTACACTCTGGCTTCCCCGTAGAGCTGGGAAATTAAGATTGCTTCATCATGGGATCAAAAGAAAAAAACGTAAAGAAAGTCATTAAGTTGTTTTATTCATAAAAAAATAATCCCTCTGCAACCCTTCAACAAATAAACATTATTATAGGTGATCTCGAGAAAATGGGCCTAAGATACCATTTGGCTACAATGTATGGAGGTGATTCATTATGGACATTTATATTAAACACTCGTCCCTCCCAAGGAAACAAATTTTGAAAAATAATTTTACATTGAAAGGCAGTAAATGACAGAGTTCATGCATTTTTATAAATACTGTGACAAAAAGAAGTTTGAATAACTTTTGTTTTAATGTTTTAAATCTATGCATCACTGCAACTTTACTCACTATATTCATTTGTCATAGTGAATATATTTTTTCTGGTTAGCGCACTACAGGGCTTAATCTGTAAATCAATTGATGCTGGAACACAGAGGGTGGGGCAGTGGGGATGGAGAATGAATGCAAGGAGGTGTGGGGGAAGGTCCTCCCCTAGAAAATTTTGTATAAAGTAGATGCAATGTCCTGAATTTTGATGTATTTTAACGGGTTGTTAAACATCTACGTTTACCTACATTTGTAAACACTCCGCATCTGTCAAGCATCCTTCCCCCCCTTACTTTTCAGAGCCGTCAAGTAACTCGGAACCGACCCCGACTCTGTCCCTGCTCGTTGTTGTCCGACTCCACATGTGAACCACGGCTGTGAGCTCCTGCCCGCATACGACTGGCTGGTTAGCTCAGCACTCACCCCACCACTCTTTTAGGTGAGGTGATTTTTTTTTTAAGGGTAAACGTGGAAATGCTACTTGAAGAGGCAGGTCTTATGCTTGGAACTTGTGGCTGTTGTGTTTAAAATTAGTGTTTATATAATTATTTTCAGTTTATCCAACAACGTTCGGTCAGGTCATCTTGACGGTTTCTTTTTTTGTTGAGACGTTTCGTCCTTCGTCCAAAGGACTTCATCAGTCCGTGTAGCCACAAACAAACTCAGTCCCATAAGCAGCACACTCCCATAGAATGAATTTTGTTGAATTTTTTTATCTGGATTATTGAGCATAAACTTTGATATTTTCAGTTTATATATCCAAAATAAGTTTTATTTGTTCAAAGCAGTCATATTTGTTCATAACTTTATTATTAGTAAGCCAGAGGGTTACTGGATCCAAGCAAACAGTTACCAGAACACACCCTGTCAAAATAAGAGAGTCCCCAGATCCTGTTCTAGCAGGATGTGGCTCAAATTAAGCACTGGCACAATAGGATACATGGTCTTACAGTATCATCTAACTTTGTAATCAGAATCAGAATCAGAATAAACTTTACTGGAATTGCACCGAGGTACAACGCGAATATGTACGTACAGTCGTCCGAAAGATGGGCGGAGTGCACGAAGCTGCAACTGTAGAAAGCACGGCCATTTTTATCATTATCAGATAATAATCTTAGATAGGAAAAGGGGTAGAAACATAAGGGTAGATAGTGGTATTACAAAAAAAGATCTTTCACATCTTGTCTATCAGGACACGATTTGAGACATCAAAAAACTCTACCAGCAAGCACAATTAAAATATGATTACATTTGCATTTGACATCGAGGTGTTGAGATTTATCCATGAGCGTTTTTTCAGATCAGCCACAGTTTCTGAAGATGTTGTTTCAGCAGACAGTTCTGATAAGCTTGCACAGAACGGGATAGATGAAGCTTTTGTCCTTGGGTATTCATGTCCCAGGAGAAATTGATAGTCGGCCTGTCTCCGAGGCCGTCGGGAGTCAGATTCAGATAAGCTTGATTCTTGTTTTCCTTCAGGCAGACAGATTACTTTTTTCTTCAGCCTTGAGTCCATCTGGGCGTTCTGGTTCCAAAAATGCCTAATTGTGGGATTCCATTCCACTGATCCATGCTATGAGTCTCCTTCAAGGTCAAACCCACCACGCTGACGAGTCCCAGAAGCCGCAGGTGGCCTGCGATTCTCATCTCAATCGCCTCCACCTTACGGTTAAGCTCGTAAACCAGACGATTCAAAGTTCCCACAGCGAGGACCAGTCCTTCACACTGACTCGGAAGCTTTTCCATGGCCGAAACTGCTGCCAATGTCTTTTTCAAAAATCGATAAAGCAGAGCCCCGCCGCTGCCGAAAAGCAGAGTCCCTGCTATCATAATTCCAAATATGTAAACGTCTTCAACATTCTCCTGAGACAAGACTGAGAGACACATCATCTGCCACACTCCCCAGGAATCCATGATGTACCCCACAGCGTGAGTCTCAGCTTATCCAACAACGGTAAGGCTTTACAGTTGACTCAAAAAGGGGACATTTGCAGAAACTAAAAAAAAGAAGTTTGTTGAAGTTTGCTATAATGCATTATCAATATGATGCTGCAAGAAGCAAGAAGTAACTCCTTTTTGTTGTGATTCAACTTAAAAGGGACCGTTGAGGTCAAAGCAGGTCATAACGTGTTAAAAGAAACATAAACTTCCAGATCTTCTTCAAACCATACAGTATAAAAACACATTAATGTGTGTCAGTATGAGAGGTTTGATGTTGAAGAGCATTTTAGGGATGGAAAAAATACATAAGTACATAATATCTATGATAGGTGTGTGCTTCAGGAAACTAAAGAAGGTCAGATGGGAAACGGTTAAGGCATTAAGATTAAATAAATCTCTTGTGGTGCATTTGATAGCTGCTTTGATTAAGACTGAAGCAGTGGGATCAATTTAAGGCTTGTGTGTGGGTTGTACTTGACAGATTTTTTTTATTTTATATATGTCCACGAAGCATGTATTCAAAGAAGCAATACATTTAAGTTTGGCCATGTGCACCTTTTGACGTGCATCATCTTTGTAAAGGTACAATGGTGGATGAGGGATTGAAAGAAATCAATGTCTTTAGAGATTACCATGACAAAAAATATATAAATACCTTAATTTGAGCCTTTTTGCAGGGCTCAGAGCAAACTGATTGGATGACATCACTGTTATTGCTCCAGATTTCCTCATCGTTCATCTTCAGGCCGCCCTGATCCCAGCTTCCTACGTGGATGTATGCAAATTCGTCTTCGCCAGTCTGCTTGAAGTTCATGATTTCATACCTAAAGCACATGTTTTGTCACCTTTACCACATGCATTTTTTTTTCTTCTTCTCCTCACTCTCTCCTCCTTTTTTAACTCTGAGAAGAATCCAGACCTGCCAGGCGAATCTCCATTCTGGTCAAAGTGGATTTTCTCTCCAGAAACACCAGTGAAGTTAGTTCTCATTAAGAAATCCAGCAGCTTGCGTCCGTCAATGGGACGCATGTTTTTGCACAAACCCTGCAGAAGAGCAAACACTGTCAATGCTGTCCTGTCCAAATGTGGATGACTTTAATCAAGCAAATGGAGAAACATCATACCTTAAATCCTGGACAGAGAACTTGCTGCATGGCGTGTAGACCATAAGCCATGGAATATATTGCATTTATGACAAAACCCATTTTGGTGTCTTGAGCATACTGAAGACTCAGAGACTCCCTCCCTGTTGTGAACAGAAGCACTCCTCTTAAATGTCTTAAATGGGTCAAAACTTTGTGCTCTTTTTAAAATATGCATTTACAGGATTTGCTTACACAGCTTCAGACAAGTAAAACTGTCTACAGGTGCATGTAAAAAAATTTGAAAATTGTGAAAAGTTATATACTTCTTGTTAATCATTTCAGAAAGTGAAACTCATACATTCATTACGCATAGAGTGAAATATTTCAAGCATTTATTGCTTGTAATTATGATAATTATAGCTTAAGAATAATGACAAACAAAATTGCAAGAAATAAAGGTTTGACATATTTCACTCTGTCTAAAGTATGAGTTTCACTTTCTGAAATGACTGACAAGAAAAATTGAACTTTTTCACAATATTCAATTTTTTTAGGGTGTATGGAACATGCTCATTGTTGTACTAACAGGTGCAAGTGCTGTTGTACTTTGTGTTCTCCTGTGGATGTCCTCTCAGCCTGCACTGGAAACGGTGCTGCCAAAATTCAGGAAACCAAGGGTTCCTCAGGTTAGAATCTGGTGTCAGGTTCAGGTAATAATCATCAAACCAGGTCACATATGCTGACTTTAGCTTTATAGTGATTCCACCAGCTGCCTCCCTCTGATAGCCATCAGTTACATCATACCTGTCTGCCCAGCCATCACTGGACAGAAGAGGAGGAAAGATACAGAGACAAAAAAAGTTGTTAAAGTATGGACACATTCCCATGAATTTGTTTCCTTAAGTTGTTGAACTCCTACCAAACGGTATTAGATTTCACAAAACTTGTTGAAAATTATTTTGCAATGATGTGCAAATCATATACAGTAGTAATAAAATCTTGCAGATGCACTTTTCCCAGATTATTTTTCATCATTTTCACACATTACAAACTTTATTTAATTATTTTCTTCTTCTTTCGGCTGCTCTCGTCCTCAGAGGTTGCCACAGTGAACTAACTCACACAAAGACTTGACAGTTGTTATCATGCCAGAGGTCTTTCCTGACACAGCCACAGACCATCGAGCTACCACAGCCCCGAGTGCGGAGCAGAGAGCTGCCATCTAGGGTGCCCGGAGGAGAAGATTGTGGGTGGGGGTTAGTGCCTTGCTCAAAGGCACAGATTGGGGCAATCAAGGGTGGATGTAGGTGTGGGTGCTTTGCCTTTCCCACCGACATTTTTATGTTGTCGGTCCCAGGGATTGATCCGACGGCCTTCTGATCACAGGCTCGCCTTCTCTAACCTCTGCGCCACCCCTCCCTCACAAACAGTATTTATTGTCATTAATGTTATTAATTCACATATCTGTTTTTCTTTTCCAAGGTGAGCTGTTCGTTTTATTCCAAGGAACGGGCATTAGATTTGTTAAGCAACCATGACAATACGGGCATTAACAATACTACATTTAACTTGTACACATCACAAAATTAAGAAACATGCTCAATCATTACACATGTTGATTGAGCTTTATCTCATTTAATCACAATCAAGTATAATCTCGTCTAATGTAATCCCTGTGGGCAGAAAGGAGGAGCTGGATGAGACTTTGGTCTCCATAATTCTTCTTCTTTTGGCTTTTCCCTCTTCAGGGGTCTCCACAGCGAGTCATCCTCCTCCATCTCACTCTGTCCTCTGCATCCTCTGTCCTCACTCCAACTACTTCCGTGTCCTCTCTAACTGCATCCATATATTTCCTCTTTGTCGTTTTCCTGGCAGCTGCATTTCTAACATCCTTCTACCAGTATACCCACTGTCCCTCCTCTGGACATGTCCAAACCATCTCAGTCTAGCCTCTCTAACTTTAGTTCAACCTGTGCTGTACCTCTGATGATCTTATTCCTAATCATATCCATCCTTGTCACGCCTAAAGAGAACCTCAGCATCTTAATTTCTGCCACTTCCAGTTCTTTCTCCTGTCTTTTTGTCAGTGCCACTGTCTCCAGACCACACCACATAGCTGGTCTCACCACTGTCTTGTATATTTTTTTGTTTTGACCTTTGCTGACACACTTTTGTTGCAAATCACTCCTGAAACTTTTCTCCATCCTCTCCATCCTGCCTAGACTCTCTGTCCAGACCCGACTAAAGTGTGTTGTATTTTGTAATGTTTGTGTCTTTTTTCTCCCAGTTTTCCCAATAAAGCCTGCTATAGTTCATACGGTTTTATTCTTGGCAGAAGAATAGGAGACTGTTTATTCACCTTGATCTCACAGAGGACAGGGCACCTTGCATGGAACGAGTTTGCAAGAAAGATATGCTTCATGTTCTGTATCAACCAGATGTGGTTGAATGACAGCAAAAGTCACACATTAGTTCACCTAGGTCATAATGTTTTGGATAATAAATCTTAACAACAAAAAAAAAAAAAGCAGCACCAGAAGACATTTAAGAACTTCTTTAACTGAGCTGTGTTATACAACAGTGTGTGGGTGTTTTATTATGCTTGGCGAGGTAGGAGATCATTTCGTAACACATCCTTAGAGAAGCCAGTACAGAAATGGTACGCCGGCATAAAAAAGGCAGGAATAGATATGAAAAGCATGGAGGGCTTTGACTCTGGATAGTTTGAATCACTCTTCAACAAACGCTCTAAAACCCACACATCGACCTAGCAGGGCAATATGCTCCATACAGCATGCTGCTATACCACCTACATGCCTGAACACACACACACACACACACACACACACAAGTGAATTGTATAAATATGCTCATACAGACACACACACACACACATAATACTCCAATTTTCCTTACAAACTGGTCAACTTTTACAGCCAGCCCTTTTCTTGGGGAACAATTTTAAAGGTCACCAAACAATCTAAAAGCCAGACGCTTAAAGCCAAATCAAACGAGAAAGAAAACAAACAAAATAAGTATCTATCCTATTAAAATATAGTAAAAAGGTTATCTACAGATAATAAATAAATATTTCAAATAGATAATAAATGACACAATTATCTTTATCTTGACTCATTAGTTTTTATTCTTTTCCGCTCCAGTGTTTGTACGTGAGCCGTGCAGCAGAGGTTCATGTTATCATTATCAATAGAAATTCCAAGTGGCGCACTTGTGTAAGAAAAGTGTGCATGCAGCAGTCAGAATTTATCTGAGGGATGTAGAGAATTGTTACTGAAACCACAGAGCTCAACCTGACATTGATTTTTGGACAAATACCATGTCCAAACTGTATCTCCTATAGGGTTCTAAGCATTGCATTTTTACTAAAGGCTACATAGCATCACTGTAACTACAATGAAGGATTTTTTTTCATGATCTATTTTCGCAGAAAAAAATCTAGTTAAATGGCCGTGGAGAAATCTTAGTGCAGCTTCAACATTTGTACTACTGATTTGAAATTAGACCAAATTATGTATGTATACTGGTGCATATATACTGTATATGTTAATCATGAATGTAGTACTCCCTATTAAAGCTGTCATTTCTAACTCGAGCCCGAAGCCCAGCCCGACTCAAATTCCGGTCAGGTCGGGCCGGGCCATGATAATGTGTTGGATGGGCGGGCCGGGTCAGTGTTGGAATTTGATTAGGTCAGAGGATCAGCCCTGATCCAATTATATGACAACATGGCTTGCCATAGCATCACCAGTCGCACGCGGCCATTGCACCTCGAGTTGACTGGCCTTGAAAGAGGTAAAAAGTTCAGTTAAGCTTCAGATGGGACTGCACTGCCAGGAAGCCACCCATCGCCCAAATGGTCGCTCATTCAGACGCTACACTTTTCTGATGCACACGGCTGACAACCCAAACAGGTGAGATCCCAAAGCAGACGTGTCAGAGCAGGGTCCATGTCTGAGTAATGCAGAATGTAGGCAGAAACTTTGTCGGCCATTAAAGGACAAACACCTCCTCAGGTTCAATCTTCTGCCTTTTTTATTCAGCTGTGCATCCCCGACCGTTAATAACTAATTAATTTTTTATTTTTTTTCTGGGTTCAGACCTGTACTTACAGTTAATTCGTCAGGTTGGATGGGGTTCAGACATGATGGCTGTGGGCTAGGGCCAGGTTGGATTTTTTGGGCCCGAATGCTTTCATCCATCTATCCATCTATCCATCTATCCATCTATCTATCTATCTATCTATCTATCTATCTATCTATCTATCTATCTATCTATCTATCTATCTATCTATCTATCTATCTATCTATCTATCTATCTATCTATCTATCTATCTATCTATCTATCTATCTATCTATCTATCTATCTATCTATCTATCTATCTATCTATCTATCTATCTATCTATC